TATGTGATATGACCTATGAGATCATATGAAATATTATATGACTATGTGATTATACGAAAAAGAGTACAATTATATGTGATAAGCTCTGTGATATGTGAATCATATGAAAATGTTCTACGTGTAAGTGAACCATGTGTCTATGTGAATGTGTATATGTGATACAAGTTATGTGACATAAGCTACGTGATATGTGACAGTGAACTACGCGTTTATGATGATGTGAAATTTATAAATGATAATACCCATGTTATGTAATATGAGAGCTAGTGGTATAGTTGGCATGCCAAGGGTCGAGGGTTTACATATGTTCTACGGAACATATGGAGAGAATTACCTGTCTTTTGAGACATATGGACAGTATACCTATGTTCTAAGGAGCATATGGACAGTTGCCGAGGTTCTTTATGACCTCTGGATAGGTCCTTCGGGATAATTATACGAGCTGTGGTGACATCATAGTGCACAACCTCAATAGACTCACATATCTATAGTTCTCAAAGTGTACATGGGTAACAAGAGATAACAAAATATCTTACATGTAAAGTATTGCTTTTGTATAATTGTATTATATGATATATGAGATGATGTGTATATTGCTTGATTAAATGAATCATAGAGCTTAAATGAATGATATATTATAAGACTATAATAAGAATAGGATTTGGAATAAGGAGTGATGAAATAGTGTGGGATATGTATATGTGTATTATGTGTTATATTGTTTTGGTGTGACATCATGAGATGATGTGCTTATGCATTTAAATAGTTAGAGTTCTTTTATAAATTTAATACCTCACTAAGTCATAAACTTAGCGTGTGATTGTTTCACACGTAGGTTACAGAAGCGAGAAGAGAAGCTAAGAGAAGCAAGACAAGCCAACATCTCCCTTACAAAGTTTCAGATCAGAAAATAGATGAAGTAAATGTATTTGATTAGTTTTTAATATAGTTGGCATGTACTAATTGATTGAGTTGAATATGCTCTGATTTGGTTGTAAAATAATTTGATTGTAAAATAATTTGATTGTATTTATTACTGTAAAGTATTCATTTTCTCAATTGATGAAATTAAGTTTTTAGTGAATTTGTAAAGAACAGAGTTTTGAAAAGTCAATGTAACACCTCGGACTCGGATCCGGGTTGGATACGGGTTGGGGGTGTTACAAACATTATTGTCCAGTTGATTCGTAAATTTAGTCAAATGGGTCTGTAATATTTTTGAAGTGTAAATATTTTTTTTGGAGCTCCTCAGTAAAAATATTTTTATTATATTTTAGTTTATTTTGTGGTTGGTTATAATGATCACTTTAAAGCATGAGAAAGTAAGTTTAAAGTTGGTTAGCCACTCTGGTGGTTTCGTGTAGCACCTTAAATCGGTCGATTGTGTGTCATATCGGTCTAGGGTTTTACATATTCAAAATTTATATATTATTAAAAATATTGTATAATTTTTCATATTTAGAAGACAAGAGGTGTTTATAATTAGTATATGTATTTCAAATACTTAAAAATATGAGTATTAGTATAATTGGATAGTTTAAAAAAAGTAATTCATGCTCCAACCCACGAAAATCAGGTAGTCACAAGATAAACATTCAAAATAAACGAGTCAGATTACAAGATAATTGAGATAAATTTATATATATATTTTTTATGGTTGAAAATTTAAGTAGATAAACTTTACACATTACACAATTCAATAATACTAACACAGCTTATCACTTAAAAGTTAAATTTGCATAATATTAGTCACTAACAAAGAATAATTCAATATCCAAACATAAATTTAAAACAAATTGAGGATAGGATTTAAAAAAAGTACAAATTCTTAATGTTTCACACACTTAAAAAAGAAATAATATTAAAGAAATATAGTCCATAGATGGTTCTTTTCCTACAGATGAAATATCGCCTCAAATCATTTATTTAGGGCCTGATATCATATATCATACGTGATGTCTAAAATATTGTTTGTTTAATATAAGTTTTAAATATATATTTATTTGAACTTATTTTTTTGGATAATCAAAATAAAAGTTATTTCATCCAAAAAGAAAAACAATTAATAGAAACAAACAATTAGACTAACCTCCAACCCTGCAGTAGAACAACAGGGGTAAGGACACACTCCTTGCACCCTATCAACCTGTCCCTAACACTATCCCTTATCAACTCAAATATACTCTGAGCACATCGGGACTTTTTTCATGATTCCTATATTTTCTAAACTATGATATTCAAACAAACAATTAAATTCAATACCCCTCTCCCATTATATCTTTAAACCCATTCCAACACTTCAATCCAAGAGGACCCTTGCATATACAGCCCACAAGCTCCGAAAATTAAAAACCTTACTTGTCGAGCAAAGGAACAAAGCACAAACAGTAGTCTCTATCCTCCGCATGCCCCTCCTCACAAAGTAAGCACCATGGAGGCCCATGCAACTCCCATGCAACTAAACGCACCTAGTAGACAAACGATCGTATCGGCCAACCATGTAACGAAGTTGTACCTCGGGATCGTATACCGATTGGATCCCTATTCATAACAAATAATTGTGTATCCTCAAAAAGCTTCCTCCACGTCCAGTTGCATCCCTGACGATGCCGAACATGTCACACACATTCCCCTTTCAACATATATACTTTCATACAAGCTACCCATAAAGTATTGGTTCGAATCAACAACTGCTAAAGACAACGCATCATGCACCATTGCACGCTTTGTTTCAAACCAAGAGTTATTTGATCCCCAATCTCCTCCTCCTTCGGATGGTAAATATGCTCCCAACTTACTTCCCACACCTTCTGTATCCCCATCATTACCCTTCCAAAGAAAGGTGAGCAAACTTGAGCAATCCTTCATAAAACACCCATCGGAAGGGGGGAAATACGGCTCTAAATGTTTGCAAACCAAGCACAACAGAACGAATAAATTGGGGTCAACCAACAAAGGAAACACCCTAGAGCCCATCCCTAATACGATGATAACCTTATCCAAAAGGACATTGCAATATGAACTTTTAATGCTTGTAGAGGTTAATGGAAGTATGGAACCCCAAATATCTCATCGGAAGCACCCCAATTTAATTCCCATACTCCTAACAACCTCATTCAAACAATGAGGATGAACACCAACATTAAAACAATAAGTTTTTAAATTATTCATTTGAAGCCCCGAGACACTATGAAAAAATTCCAAAACAGTACATACTCCCTTCACTGAATACTATTTGTCGTTTACAAGGCTTAATACATTTTTGGGTACCTAAACTATCTCAATTAACTTTTGGTGTCTAAATAATTTTCATTAAAAATAGGTGTTTAATTTTTCCGTTACACTTTTAGGTGTCTGTTAAAAAAATCATTAAGTGACATGCGAATGTCCAATATTTTAAAATAATATTTTATTTTAAAAAATATAATGTGACACATGTCACTTAACGTTTTTAATATATGAACCTAAAAGCATAACGGAAAAAACATTAAGCATCTATTTTTAACAAAAAAAAAAAAAGCACCAAAAGCCAATTTAAAGTATAATTTAGACACCTAAAAGTGTGTTACACCCTTTAACAAAAACCATCATGTTTTTGAACATACTAATTGTATCACTGAAAAGCTCAAGCTTTCGATTTAGTACTATAATGAGTGAGTATTGTTTGTTATGGGTAACTCCCTAGGTCGTGCTCTTAAGGTTGATAGAAATACAAGCTATGCCTCTAAAGGATGATTCGCACGAGTTTGCGTGGAGATTGATTTCGGAAGACCTTTGGTGCCAAAAATTGACGTATATGGTCTGTGGAACCAAATCGAATATGGAGGCTTGCCCCTAATCTGTTGCAAGTGTGGAATGTTTGGCCATAAAGATTGTTCCTTCCTTTCTACTCCTCCCGTCAAGGAATCAGCCCAGGGCGTTGGCTCTTTATAAAAAGATAAGTGGTGAGGAAGGGGACGACAATGTTGCAAAAGAAAACGTCTCCAGTGGATGCCAATGCGACATCGTCTTCTGAGTTTGGCCTTTGGATGATTGCTCAACGCCGCAAATCGAGGAGGAATTCCAGGGCTTATGAGGAAGAAATTGGGAAAGACATTAATCAGGGGAAATCAAAAGTGGGACCAGATTCTCTCCTTTGATATACATCTTGAATGAAAGGGAGTCAAATCCGTCAATCAGGCAAAGAGAATATCCCAATTAATGGGCACGTGTAGCATAGTAAGAGAGATTGATGAAGTGCTTAATTCTTCAAAAAACTTTGGAGGGAGTCTACCATCTTTGCATCGCTGTCGACGGTTTCATGAGATGATTCAACATTGTAATTTTATGGATTTAGGATTCCAAGGTCCCTCGTATACCTGGTGGAACATGCGGCAAGGTCATGCTCGTATTCAAGTTCGGCTGGATAGGGTTGTGGCCAATGCGAGTTGGTGGGCTAGTTTCCCTGAAGCGTTGGTTTTGCATCTTCCCCTAGGATAGATCCAAGCTCTGGATAGATTCAATTATCTTGGATTTTTCATAATTCTTGATGACAAAGGGTTAACTTCAAATACCACCAGCTTTTAAGCGTTGACTTGTTTATACCACCAACATTTCAATTTTGTCAATTTTATCACTAACGTTTACGTTTAAGTGCAATTATGTCACTCGTCGTTAATGATTTAACGGATAATGACATGATAACGGCATACCGTGACGTTACTGATGTGGATACCTCATCTAAACGATCTCGTTTTGACATTTTTGTTTTAGTGCTAAAAAAACCCAAAATGACGTTTTGCTTAAACCCTAATTTTCCTAGGGACTTCACTCAAATTTTCCCTTTATTATTTTTCTCTTCTTCCTTCTCATCTTCATCTGCATATCCTTTTACATGGTTTTCTTAGCAACCAAATGGTCACCATCTGGCATCGTTTGGATTTCTCGTCGTTTGATAATATTTCTACTATAAATTGAGGAGGAAAGCACTATGAATCTTGCAAATGAGTTCATCACAATCAATGGCCATGGATTTCTTCACTCTGTTGCAACAAAAAATCGTTTTTACACTTCTTGTCCCTCTACTCATCGTCATCTTCATCTTCGGGGATATCAACAGAGCCAAAAGCAACAAGAAAGACAATAAAAAATCACCGCCGGAGTTGGTTGGAGGAAGTCCTTTTCTCAATCACCTTCACCTATTCGAAAAAGGGAAGCTCGTACATAGAAAACTCGAGTCATTGGCCGACAAGTATGGACCCGCCTTCTTTATCCACATGGGGATCCACCCAACACTGGTTGTGAGCAGCTAGGACATTATAAAAGTGTGTTTCACCACCAATTAAAAGGTCTTTTGGATGCAGCCAAGGTCCTTAACGATGAATATCATGGGCTACAACCAGGCCTTGATGGGTTCGACTCCTCACGACCCTTATTGGAGCTACCTGAGAAAAATTGCCACTGTCAAGCTCCTCTCCAACCAACAACTCAAGTTGCTCAAATACGTTCGTGAGGCAAAAATCAACGCCTTCTTCAAATAGTTGTACGACTAATTCGTGATGAGCAAAGGCATTGTCGTTGTTCAAATAAAGGATAAGTTTTTGGATTTAGCGATGAATGCTATAATGAAGATGGTGACCGGAAATGGATATGATGGTCTTAACGGGAAAAACGACGAGGAATCCAAACGATGCCAGATGGTGACCATTTGGTTGCCAAGAAAACCATGGAAAAGGAGATGCATATGAAGATGAGGAGAAAGAAAAGGAAAAAATAATGGGAAAATTTGAGTTTAGTCCCTAGGAAAATTAGGATTCAAGTAAAATGTCGTCATTTTGGATCTTTTGAGCACTAAAATAGAAACATCAAAATGACGTCGTTTAGATGAGTCATCCATGTCAACAACCTCACGGCATGTCGTTGCCATGTCATTGTCCCACTAAACCATTAATGGTTGAGTGACATAATTGCACTTAAACGTAAACATTAGTGCATAAATTGGAAAAATTGAAATGTTGGTGGTATAAACGAGTCAACGCTTAAAGGTTGGTGGTATTTGAAGTAGTTAACCCTATTTAAAATTATATGTAATCATGCTCAGTCAAAATGTTCACAAATATGTTTATATTCGTGAACATTAAATGATTATTTTCGTGAGTATGTTCATGAATATTATGTAACGCCCCAAATTTTGGGTTAGTAGTTCGGGTCATATAACGCCCCGAAATACGGGTTAGGAGTTTCAGATTTATTCGTTTGGGTTTTTGGATAAATTTCCCTTAATATGTCAAACCTTGGACCCAATTGGATTTGATTTGGGCCTGATATGAGCCCAACAAGATTTAAAAAAGGTGTTATTATCTGGACCAAGATATGGAGGGACTAGGTGAGTAATTTACCCTTTTATTTGAAACAAAGTTGAAATCCCATTAAGAGATATGATATCACGTCTGTTTAATATCTCTTTTTCTTCATCTATCTTGTATTCTTCCTCTTTTCTTCTTTATTCTATTATCTTCCAAGTTAAGCTAAAGGTTGGAACTTTGAGAATTCTAATCCTCTATTAAGTCTTCAAAGGTAAGAACTCCAATCTTCATCTCCCAAGCTTCTATTTAAGCCTTCTTTTACAAAGTTTGGGTAAGTTAACCAAAACGAGTTTTAATGGGGGTTTATGAAATCTTGGGTTCTAGCTCGTTTTATGGGTTTTGAATTGTAGGAAAACATTTTGACCCCATTTTAAGTTTTAAAATAAGATGATAACTCATTTTTCATGGCTTGATTAGTGTAAGAGAAAGGGAGAGCTCAAAGGCTAGAGTCAGGAGAAGTTGGTTCTTGGGTGACTTGAGAAAGCTTTTTGGTCACCTAGCTTCAAGGTAACACGTTTCTAACTTGACCATACTGCATGTAGGTTATTGTGTATGCATTTTGGTATGTTTTGGTTCATGTGAGCATGCTAGAGTATTTCCATGGCAAGATTCATATTTGTTGTTTGTAAGCATGAAAGTTGATATCTTTTGACCTCTAAGACCTCAAATAAGACTTTAAAATGATTTTCTAGTCTTAGGAGAGTGAATGGGTGAGATTTAGATGTATTTTCGTGCTCAAAACAGAGCATTCTGGTATTTTAGTATTGATATTGTTCTGCCAGTACTGATAATGTTCTTCATGAAAGGCCAAAAACAGGCCCAAAACAGGCCCTTTTATAAGAGAAGTATCGATACTCCCCACAGGAGTATTGATACTCGGGGTTTGATATCGATACTCAGAGGGTCAGTATCGATACCAAGGTAATTTTGGAAACATCAAAAACAAATTTGGTATCAATACCCATGGGGGTATCGATACCTAGGGTAGAGTATCAATACCCATGGGAGTATCGATACCCAAGCATTTTTCAAAATACCAAATCTGATTTTGGTAACGATACTCACCTGAGTATCGATACTAATAGAACAATATCGATACTCGGTGATTTTGGGAGAATTTTATTCAATTGGTTTTGGGGTTTGGGCTTGGGTGTTTTGAGTCTATATGAGCGACAAGTATCCAATTCAAGTGAAAATAATTAAGACTTCTAAAATCTCACCTAGAAATCAAGCAATATAGGATTTCATAATATTGGCCTTGTCTGACACTTGGGAAACAGTTCGGACACCTGAGTTACTCTAGCATTATGACAATCATATTTTGTTTGTGAATATCCAGATATTGTTTCACTAGTAGAAAAAAACCCCTTTAATGAAGCGCATTGCGCGTCCTTTATGGGTGCGGATGACACACATTTTCCTGTCGTTGAATCCACCGACATGAATTTAAGATGACACGCAATTGTGCATCATAAATTTATGACGCGCATTTATGACACTCATTGCGCGTCATTGAAGCCCCCGTCATAAATGAAGATGAAACACATTTGTGTGTCATAAATTTATTATGACTTACATTGCGTGTCATTGAAGCACACGTCATTAGAAAGATGACACACATTCTTGTGTCGTGATTGTATGTCGTAAATTATATATATATATATATATATATATATATATATATATATATATATATATGTAGATTGACAAATATCAAACTAAATCACATTTAATGTCTCATAATACTAAATATATATATCATATTATATATAAGCAATCCATTTGCATACAATATATTAACATTAAGTTATCAAAAATATTGTAATCATATGTCGATACAAAATATCATTGCATAATAAAGTTTTCCATATAAGATACCTATTCTTTGCGAATATCAATCATGTTGACGTTGCGGGAGATATAATTCCTCTAGCTTCTTCTGCAATTTTGAAGTTGCTTCTTCAGAGTCGAGAACTCATGAAATAGGCTGCGAATGAGCATTGGCTTCAACTGAACTAGTAGGAACATCAGATGCACCAGCTGTTCCCGAACCCTTCCCAAAATTAGAGTTGATCGCCTTTGGTTTCCACTCTTTATTTGAACCAACTGCTGATGACATATAGGAATTAATACATTGCATATATTAATCAAGCATCAACTATCTTCAGGTGAGAGCATAAAGTAGTCCAAACATTTGTAAAGAGCAAACATTTTCATTTATGGTTATCAAGTCATCACTCATCACTAAGTAATATGAAAAGAACGAAAAATCAAGTAAATTTGTGGTAAATGTATCTTAAGCTTTAAAAGCTTTACTTTTCATTTCTCACAGTTACACTGTTATTTAAGGGGATACTTCTATTTACATATGGGTAATTCACCCATCGTTCTCGGTTATAATGATGATTTTCATTCAAACTTGCAACAAACATGCTACTGAATTCTATTTCGCTCAGAGGAAAAGGTGATTGATATTTATTTACCAAAATTAGTTATAGATTCCAATGATTATAAGGAGTAACATAGTGGGTCTGAACTCTGAACATCCTTAATCAATCAAACAAAGGAGGGCATTCAACTAAACTTTCTTGGTCTAAGTGAATTTAGATAAATCCCATCTCTAACAAATAACACACATATCTTGATAACTTAAGCATCCATGTACAGTTCAGCAAAAAGCCAAAAATCAATTTTTTTTTTAAATATCAACATTCACATAGACTGCAATAACTTTCATTATATCAGTATGGGATGGGAGATTGTCGAGTGCAATCTAGACATGCATCATAAATCTTCACTGGACAGCTAAAGATTCTGGAACCAATTAACTATTTTTTAAAACTGATATTCACTTCATTGATGAGGCCAAGTTGGACTATGTAGCTCCAAACTATCCATCTTAACCCCAATATAAGTCACAAAGAGAAAACATTGAACAAATATCAAGGAATGAACACCCTTTTAAAAAATATATATGTTCCAATAAAGAAACAAAGACAATAGATTCATGCTTGCAGAGAAGTAACACAGCTAAGGAAAAGGAATAAACTTAAAGGGAGATTAACATATACCTTCGGATGGCTCTGGTCTGTATCTAGTTATTCTCTATTTCTGCAATGAAGAGATCGGTTAAAGGGTAATCAAATCCAAGCCTTTGTGCACACATTTATATATATATATATATATATATATATATATATATTAATAACTAATAGAAAAGTCTATGCACCTGCAAATGACTTTTAACATGATAAATTGTCAAGCCTTCAACTTTCATAAGCTTCAACACGCCCTTTGGAGTAGCTCCTGTAAGTTGAAAATACCAAACAAATTAAAACATAATATATTTTGGAAAAAGTTTCATGAGAAATGAAAGTAACACACTTTCACTGCCTCCCAATAGGTTGACAGCTTCAACAAAGGCTTCATGAAGTTTGGTGTCCACTGCATTCGTGATTTTACTGGGGTATCCACTAACGCTGTAACTAATATTAAGGCTCATCATAACAGTTGCACTTGCAGCAGCAGAGACAATACAAAGACAAGACAATAGAAAACCTTATTATCATCACATGACACATAATATCCATCTGCATTCTCTTTATCCCAAGCCATCCAAGTCTCACATTAAGCTAAAATCTAAGTGATTTAAAACCAAACAATACGAGAAAGGATATCTGGACCACCAAATGGGTGCATTGAGGATGTAAACTAGTATTGTATAGACCACCTAATCTCTCCGTTGCCTCCACGACTTGTCTCCTTGATTCTGCAAGCAAAAGAGAAACATCAACATGTAATGGCAAAACATGATAAGTTCAATCAAAATTCAAAGTACCCAGAATCGAAATCATACGAGTTTTTATCAAACTCAGACAGCAGTACACTGTAAGAAGTACCCCAAAACAATCAAACCAGAAATAACCAACCTTTAGATAAGCCAGTGACGTAAATAACCATACCAGAAAACGGATCAGGGGATCGAACCGGTAAAGGTTCAGAATAAAGAGAGGTAGGGGCATGGGACATTGGTTCAAGGAAATATTCAGACAGATCAAATTTTCAAGGAAACAAACATAAGTTCAAAAACGAACAAAAATCAATCCAGATATAAATAACCTACGGCACAAAGCTTTTTAGTTAGCTTAACGGCGGCCTTTAAATTTTCTAAAGTTTCCTGATGACACTTCGGATCATGCTATGAGAAATCAAACCTAGCCACTGCAGAAAAACAAAAACAAACGAATAAATAAATATTGCTTCCAATAACACAGTAGTAACTCAAAAGAAGTGAGTCCGAAAATACAGTACCAGACATTCCAGCTTTAAGACAACCAGAAATAACATCAACAGATCGAGACCTTGGACCTAAAGTTCCCACTATCTTGGTCATTGACGAGAAAAAACTCTATAAAGAATAAGAACGAATCAATTTCCAAATCTACTAGGATCCAATCAAATTCCCTGGAAAACTAACAACCCTAAATAAATTGACTTGAAAAACAAAAGGGAAACTTACAGCCTTAGATGGCTCCAGGATTGAAACCATCCTGATTGGCTAGTCTAAAATGCAATTTCCTTCAAATCTAACATAAACCAGAAGAATTTATTCAAATCCAAGAAATCCCACAAGTTCCCAGTTTAGAAACATTAGAAAGTAGCAAATCAAAGTTCTACCACTAAGCGTAAAAAAATATGCGTACGAGAGGGGGAATATGGGTGTTATAGATGCATAGATGGAGTGAGCTTACGGTGCAAAGTGGATGCAGAAGAGGAAGTAACGGAATTGGAAGGAGCTGGTTGTTCTTTCATCTCCACATCTTGAGTCATTTTTGAGAACCTGAAATAATTTCAAGGTTCAAACTGATTATCGAGGGGGGAAGAAGCGAGAATGATGAAAATAATGGGGGGGGGGATTAAAATAAGACTCCTAAAGATGACACACAATTAAAACTATACTCTGTTTTTGTAAATTTTTGGATTATGACTATTAAATATGACACACATTATTGTAAGTCATAAATCGTTCAGATTTTAAAAAACATGACATTTTTTTAATGACACACATGTTTTGCAAGTCATAAATTAGCGTGTGTCATCGTTCGTGTGTCATTAAAGGTATATTTTATTGTAGTGTTTGTTTGGTACGCATCCGATGCACGTAAATTTTGGGTCATACCGATACGAATTTTAGTGTATGTAAATTGTGGAATCATACCTTCGATTGGGTACATATATGAGCTATTGAAGAACGTAAATTCCAGACCTCACCCTGACCTCTCGAGGATCCGAGGTAGAATAAGGGCTTTAAGTTCAGGCGCACGTAAATTTTGATCCTTACCCAAATATATCATGTTCTAGATAAACTAGTGTTTTGTCCGATATGCAAGTAAATTCCTCCCACCACACAACTTGGCCTATCTCATGTTTGATATATACCTATGAATGTTTATGACATAGCATTTTGGCATGTTCATGTAATGAATGCATGTAGTATTGCATAGTTATTTTCGTGGCACTGGACTTGTGAGCTTAGCGTATGGAATGTGTTTTCGTGTGCAGGTTAGTAGAGGATCGTTGAGGGATCCTATCGCATCTACCCATTCCAGACCGACCAATTATCAGAATATGTGTTGAGTATTTATAGAGGGCATGTAATCTATAGGGACCTTGTGCATTTGAGTCATAACTCTATTTTGAAATTCAAACTCAAGGATTATATTAGTACGTATATATGGGACTCACATGTTTTGTAAACTTTATTTGAATTCTACATATAGTAGGATGGATGATTTTGATGGTTATAAATTGTTTTAAAAATAAATTTGCAGGTTGACTATTTCAATGGTTCCGTGTAGCATCGTAATCTATGGATCTTCGAGTCGGACTAGATTAGGGTGTTACAGGTCAACCCAAGACCAATGTTTGGAGAAAAATACATATTAAATAGTTTGGGCCAAGTTTAGTTGAATTTGGGCTTGAGTTGGGCCAAAAGGGTTTTTGAAGGATTATAAGTTTTGTTCAAAATAGAAAGTGGCGGGACCAAAAATGCAATTTACCCATTTCTTATTTCAAAGGCTGAAAGCTCCCCCTATTTTATGTTGTTTACGTGAACAATTCCCCATTTCCCACTAAACACTCATCTTCTTCATCATCATCATTTCTCTTTTCTTTTTTTCTCTCTTAAATGAAAGTTTTAAGGACTCAAGATTAGTTGTTGTAACCAAGGTAAGAATATTTATCTCCATCCTTCAAGCTTTGATTTAAGCTCCTTATTGCAAGTTTAGAATTTGTTTTCAAAAATGGGTTTTTATAGAGATTTTAAGGGGATCCATGAATCCAAGCTTGGTTATAGTATATTCAAGTTACCTAGAGTACCCTTAGCTTTAATCCAAGAGATTAGTTGGTTTGGTAGCCATTTTTTCTTACATTGTTTAGTGAAGGAGGTGAGAGAAAGCTCAAAATCAAGGGGGAAAGAAAAATTGAGAATTGGTTGATTTGAGAGTTTTTAGTAGCCAAAGAAGAAAGGTAACACATTTACAACCCTTTCATACCAATTGTGAGTCTTTAGAATGCCTTCAAGCTAGAAATTTAAGTTTGGAAGCTTGTATAATCACCCATGGTAGATTCTAGCCTTTGTTGTTATTTAACTTGTTTAAAGCCCCTTTACGATCCTTTCTATCATGTAAAACTTATAAGTCTATTTGAATTGTTGGAGTGGTTTTGGAAAGGTTTTAAGAGTTTAAATGTGCAGAAATTGAAAATTTTAGCGGAGGTTTCAAAACCCCTCTGGCTGGTTTTGAAACCACTTGTCCAGAATGTAAAAATTTCTAGAGGTTTCGAAACTCCCTAGGCAGATTAAAAAAATAAATGCGAGGTTTTAAAACCCCTTCTTGAATTGGGCAAATAGGCCTAAAATGGTACACGGATGGTTGTGGACTTATATATGCTTTAAATTGGGTAAATTTCCAATAAAACGTTAAATGAGAACAAGATTAATGCTTAATTACATTTAAAACGTGATAAATTAGGGGACATAAAACTAGTCTTGTTTGATGCTCGAGAAACAAACATGACACCCGAGTTCCTTTAGTAAAATTATGATGTCGAAGTATAGAATCAGACTGGATATCCTTAGGTAGTGCGCGAGGCACTTTAAACTGACTAACTATGGTCGAGGCCTGACACTCATGAGGGGTGGGTTAGTCAAGGGTGTTTTGTCCGATGTAGATATTTTCAGGCCTCATCCTCGGTAGATTAGAGGGTGCATGAGCTCTGAGATGCAGAACCCTCAGTCACACCATGTTGTCTACCATAGAGTATAGAGTGCAGTATACGAGTATACTCATTACTTCAGTATTTATCAGTTAGCTTGATCATGACACAAACACTTAGTATGGCTTAGTTGTTATTGTGACACTGGGCTAGTTAGCACAGGATTTGGAATTTGTTTCCTTACACAGGTTAGTCGATGAGCAACTAAAGGACCTTTTTGCCAACAGTGATTTAGATCAAATTAGTGCAGAGTACGTCTCGAGTTCAACTATAGAGGGCATGTATATTTATAAACCCCGTTTTGTATATTTGAGTCGTAACTTACTTTAAACAATGGTATGTATAAATTGAATTATTATTTTTGGGAGCTCCCGATTGTAAATTATTTTATTTAAATTGTGGTTGAGTTATCTTAGCATGAATGTTTACAAATGATCATTTCATATTGAAAAATTAAGGAAAAATTTTGGTTAGACACTCTGATGGTTCCGTTTGACATTTTGATCGGTCGACTGTGTGTCATACCGGCCTAGGGTGTTACTCATCAGTGGCTAATGTTAGTGGAGTTGAGGGTGTGGACAAGTTTCCACCCTAAAATTCAAGTTTTATTTGGTTAATTATTTATTTTATTAATGTACCCACCATAATATTTTATTTGTGCCCACCAAAAAAAAAGTTGCAAAACTTTTATGTAATTATATCAATTCTTATAAAAGAAACTCTTGCAACTTTTGGTTTATTTTCGGGACACATGAACAAACAAAAAACGATTGTTTTCTTCTCTCCGAACACCCCCTCTGCTGCCCGTTAGGCCATTTGCGCTAAACTTTAGTATAATGAAGTCTCGGATTTGGGTAAATATCTTGGTCTGCCCGTTCTTTATTTAGGAGCAACAAAAGAATTGTATACTCTCATCGTGGACAGAGAGTACAACTAAAGTTTGTTGATTCAGAAGCAACAAAAGAATTGCATACTTTCATCGTGGACAGAGTACAACTAAAGTTTGATGGGTGGCCGGCTAAAACTTTGTCCTTCGTTGGCCGGCTTACCCCAGCTAAATCGGTATTGTTGAGTATTCCTACTTTTATTATGCAAACTTGTAAGCTTCCGATCTCCCTATGTGATAAGATTGAATTGCTGGTCCGACTGTTTATTTTGGACGCTCCTTCATCCAAGATTTCCCTCGCCAAATTGGAACACCTTGTGTAAACCGATTCCTCATGGAGGCTTGGGCATTCGAAAGATGAGAACCCAGAACTTTCCCTTAGTCTTCAAAATCTGTAACGCTCTCCTGTAATGATCCCAAGCTCTGTGGATTAAACTACTCCGAGAAAAATACCGCATGATTTAAAGCTGTCCAGCTTCAATCTCTCGACCTGACAGCTTTACCCTGTAGAGGTCGATTGCAAACATCTAGCCTCTCTTCCACCAAAACATTGTTTGGTCAGTTGGTAACGGTGAAACCACCAATGCTTGGCACGATTTATGGATTCCTTCTCTTGGTGTTCTTTTAGAATATTCTCCTAATTTATCCATTCAAATCGATGCAGGAGGTCTGTGAAATGACTCGCGGAGATGGCACTTGGAACTGAGCTTCCATTCACCACATTTTTCCCCCTGCAGTGATCCCCCACATCCAGAACATCGTCCCCCTTCAATCGACGCTGGACCTAATCAATGCTTTTGGCACGCTGATCCAAAGGATAATTTCTCTGTTAAAAGTGCTTATGCTTCATTTGATAAATTGAATTGGGGTGAGAAGGATCATCACTGGCTTGTTATTTGGAAACTTTACATTCCCGAACGCATCCGTAGATTCTTATAGCTTGCACTCCAGGACGAGCTCCTCACCAACCAAGTTCATTGCGTTCGGCACATCGGATCTGACTCATCCTGCTCGATTTGCAATGCTCCATCTGAAACCCTCGTTCACATTTTGAGAGATTGCCCCCCATCTCGTCAAATCTGGAATAACCTAGTGATAAGGTACAACATTCATACCTTCTTTGAGGACCCTCTGGACTTTTGGATCCTCCACAACGTCCAAGCTTGTTTTCCCTGTGCTGAGACTAACGATTCATGGAGCATTTTCTTTGCATCCATGTTTTGGCATTTATGGAAACGGCGAAGCACTTATGTCTTCCAACAAACCCTACTGGATATGGACACAACGCTTCACACGAGCATTTCATGTAGTCGATGCTATACAGACATTTTCACTCGGGCTGAAAGAAGGGTCATCCGAGATTCAATTCAAATAAAGTGGAATCCACCTGATGAGGGGT